GGCACCGCAATAAAGTTACCCGAAAATTAAAAAAAAAAAAAAAAGCCTACAAAGTGCGTACGCGCCCGCAGCTCCAGCCCACCTGCCGAAGGGCGAGCGCGGGGCTCGCTCCTGCCGCCGCCCGGAGCCCGCGGCCCCGCAGCGCTGTCCCGCCCGCGGAGGGCCCGGGGCCGAGCGGGCACCGACCGCAGCCCGACAGCCGTGCAAACACCCGCACCGCGCTCCGGGGGCCACCCCGCGCAAACCTTCCCCGGGCGTGGGGCGGCGGGGCAGGCGGCTCCCCCCGGCCCCCGCGGGACGAGCCGCCCCGCGGAGCGGAGCGGCGGCGGACGGGCCGCGAGGGGAGGCGGTGCCCACGGCTCCACTCGGCCTGGCCCGGCCCGGGGATGCCGGGGAGCCCCGCGCCCGCCCTGCCCGGTCCGCGGGCGCGGGGCCAGGCGGGCAGCGCTCCCGCCGCGCCCGGAGTTGTGACAGGAGCAAAGTGGGTCACCGGGCCTAGCGGGTGCCCCGCGAGCGCCCTCCGCCCCCGGCCGCGGCCGTGCCCGCCCAAGGGCAGCCGCTGCCCTCCCGCCCCGCCGGAGCGCGGCGGGGAACCCGCCGGCACTGTCAAACTTCCACCGCTCCCCTCCGAGCCGTCCCCCCGCCTTCCCCTCACCGCCCCACGCCGGGGCCCGGCGCCGCCGCCCGCACCGCCCAGAGCCGCGCTAGCTGCTCACCTGTCCCCGCGCTGCCGCTGCCCGCCCAAGCTGTCCCGGCGAGCGCCGCTCCCCGCGCGCAGCCCCGCGCCCGCCAGCACTGCCTGACTGAGCCGCCTCCTCCTCCTCCTCCTCCTCCTTCTCTTGCTGCTGCTGCTGCTGCTGCTGCTCCGCCGGCGGCACCAGCAGCACCCAGGCCCGGGAGTCCCCACGCCGCCACTGCGCCTGCGCCGCCGAGCACCCACCGCCGCCGGCCGCCGCGGCACCTCGCGCCACCGCGCGTGCGCCAGGGCGCACTGCAACCCGCGGCACCCCGGGCCTCGCGCGGGGCCGTCGTCGCCGCTGCCACCGCCGCGCTTGCGCAGACGCGGGTCACCAGGGAGGTGAACCCCGCTCTGCGCGCGCCGCGCCACGCGTTCGCGAGGGGGGAGTTGGCTCTGCGCAGGCGCAGTGGGTGCGCGCCTCCCTGACCTGGGCTCACCTCGCCTCAGCTCACCCCGCGCGGCGGGAAATGGCGTCCGCCGACACTGCCCGGCACGGAGAGAGCCGGCAGCGCTGACCCGCCGGCTCCGAGCGCCAGGGCTCGCCGGGCTGCGACCAGAAGAGCGGCGACGCTGCTGCGAGTGCTGGTCTTCAGGTGGGCGTAGAGCCCGCAGCCGAGTCTCCGCGGGCGCTTTCCTAGCGACACGGTGAACCCGGCGCGGAACGCGGGCACACGCGCGTTCCCATAGGGAAGCACCCGGCGTCCGGATGCTCTCTGGGAACAGACGTGCTTCCCGAGTTATTTAGGGGTTCAAGGAACCCCTCCCGGCGGTAGTCCGTGATTTCTTCTATGGGTGTGCATAAAGTGGTGTAACTAAACGGAGAGGCAGAGAACAGACGTGACCGTCTCAGTCCTTTTGTCCGTGTACAAGGCTTCTAATGCCACTCAATAAATGTGCCGCGGTTATGTTAACATAAAACTGTCTTGCGTGCAGCAGAACATTGCAGGGAATTGTTTTCTGTAAAATAAAACGTCACTCAGCGGTAATATTATTTAAATAATCCCAGTTTTTTCTCTTCAGTTACGAGGATTTTATTTGTAAGTTGATCACCTGAATAGCAACATATCTAAAAGTGTAACTACAAATTTGTATCTCTAGACGCTTAATTCGTGTTTGTGTCTGGAATGAAATAAGGAACTTGGCTGCAAAATCTCATGGATTTTCCTTTCTGGGTTCCTTTCCAGATAGATCAGTTTCCCCATTTGGTTCACCTAATAATCAAAGTCTTATGCAAAGGTATTTGCAGGGCAGGAGCCTCTTTAGCAATAATGCTGCCAAAGAGCTAGCCATGAGCTCAGCTTTTCTGCTGGAAGAGTTCTAAAAAGCATTAGTAACAACACTCATTTTTGTTAGTGATTCATAATACTCCATTTCTAGCTTTCAATTAAGGAAAATGTGATATAGACAAAACTAGTAATACCATTACTCGTTAAAAGGACAATGCTTCTATTATGAAATGTAGCAGAGATAATAGGGTATAGCAGGAAGGGAACATCTAGGAGAAAATGCAGGAATATTTCCAACAAAAATGCACAATTACCAGAACTAGAACATGGCAATGAAACCAGGAAGATAAAAATAGCATCAAGCTGTATCTATCAAATTTGCCAAAAGATCTTCAGTAGTAATTCTTCAGCAGTAATTCTTCAGAAAAACAAAGTAGAGATTCTATCCTGTCTTGCTTCACATCTTGCATGTATGGGAGCAAAACACCTTCCTACTGCAGTGTTGCAGTAGCAAATTACTCTGTGACAAGATTAAAACAGACAGCACAGCTGTGGAGATGACAGACATTTGCATTTTACTGCCAAAAATTATGACTTATGCAGGGTAATTTTTTTAATGCTACTTCTCTTTTGAAAATATGTTAGAGGATGCTGAAGGCACAGGACTGGTTAGAGATGCTGTAGTGGTTTTATGAAACTATTCTTTTTGAAATACTATTACTCTGCTCTTTTCATCAATGTAAATTTGCTCTGGTGTGTAATTATAGTTTTGTTTCACTCACAAGGGTTATGAGAGAGCCAATGTAGCTTTTAAACAGTGCCAAATTAAGAGCAGCAGATATTTTGTGAATTATTGAGTGATGGAACTGGATTGGGCCAGAAGTGCACTTCCATTAACTATAGAACTATAGCCGTGTTTCCTACAGAAGTGCCATTGCCACCTTGTGTGTGATGTACCTCAGAACTGTAGAGCAAACACTTGCTCAGAGGATTTGTTTTTGATCTCACTGGCCTATTCAAAAGAGGATCTGTTTGAGGAGGCTGATTTTGAAACTAAATTTCACATGGCACCAGAATACTAAAATCAGTGGATGTTGACTTGAAAGCCTGTCACAATCCACACAATCCTTGTAAAGCAAGGTTGACACATTCATTCTTAGAGCCTTTACTTCCAAATGGTATAACTGACCCAGCACCAGAAACATCTGGTTTTAACCTGCAGATTCTCTTGGGTTTTTCTGTTGCTTTGTCACACCTGATGGCTGTAACCACGATCACGTGGTCACTGCTTGGATGAAGTTACAAAGTCAGGGTCACCAAAGGGGAGGTTTGGCGCTTTCCTACCATATCTTGCTTCCAGTGTGACAGCACTGGCACTTGTGAATTGCTGTGAGTTGTACCTATGTCCTTCACAGCAGCCACAGTGGTGGCAGGGAGGTCACTGATAAGATGAGGCAGTACTCCTTTTGTAGCAGCCAACATTGGTACTAGAAATGACTGTGGAATCACATCTAAAGCTCCTGGTGACCTATTTACATTTAAAACTGCTAACTAGCTCTGTAGTTTGAGGGTCAGATAATGGCAGATAAGCCATTGTCTCTGAAATTTATCTACTAGTTGCCTCTTTGAATCTGCAAATTAAAAGTTCCCAGAAGTGGTATCTGCCACTAGATATCTGCCAATAGCACAGCTATATCTCGCTGCGAGGAAAAAAAAACCAATCATCAATTCACTTTGTTGTTCTTCTTATGTATCTGTGTGCCATGTGTTAAGGGAACTATTCTTTTTCATTTTTCTTTCTGCATTTTGATGCTATAAACCATGTCAGTCGCATATAACTAAATCTTCATAAGCACACTGGGATTTTTTTTTGTATGATGAGTCACTGGAAAAATAACATTAATATTATACAATTTGATTCACTACTCATAAGAAATAAAAATGCTGAATCAGGAGAAAGACCTCTTCATTCACTCACGTAGTTTTGCTTCTCTACAGTGGTACTGTAAACTACTTTGTAAAAGATACAGTTATGTTTGTAAGGAAAGAAAAACTGATTCAACTGTCAGTGTTCTAAAATAGTGGGACGATTATCTACAACCCTAGAGAAAATTCTTGAACTCTTATCAGACAAACGGAAGTGTTGGTCAATGGATTCACATTCAAATCCTGATTATATATGTCTATAAACATCATTGTCTTTGGGTCACAGTTTTCAGTGGGGAAACTGAGAAGGTACTTTGCAGAGCAGAGTTCTACTACAGTAGTGTCACTGAAAATTAAAGGAATATCTTGCACCCACACTGGATAAAAGGAAGAAGAAAGTATGGATTAGAGCCCACCAGCTAATGCCCTCCCTTTTCCATTTAAGCAGAGTTTTTATGAAATGGAGAATCCAAACTCTCCATGTCAGTGACAGCCATCTGTAGGAATTTAAAGGTAAGTGTGGCTTTCATTTACTACAGTTTTCTTCCACAAATCAAAACTAAAAAATACACAAGCGAAACAGAAGCTTTTTCTTCCACACCCCCCCCCCCCATTTTTAGTAGTTTCAGGCTTACCAAAGGAGTGAAAAACTGTATGTGAACTAACTTATGCCAAACAGATGACCTGTTTAAAGCATTAAAAGGCTCTCAAGCGGTTTCATCACATCACTGGTTTTTGTATTGGTGTCTTCATGAGCAGAAGTACTTCACACTGGCAGTATCATCATAATGTCTTTTTGGGGATTTTGTTCTTAGTTTTTGTTGCTCCAACTTCTGCTAATTTTCAGTTGAACTCTTGTAAAAAGAAGTTACAGTTTATTCTGATAGTTGCAGATAATTCTCACTTCAGAGAAAAAGGAATTGACTTTAAATAAAGAGCAAGACACATCTCAGCAACAACAAAAAATAGAGCCAACCCAACCTTATCTCAGTAAAACATCTAACTGTGACATTGCAGAATACCCACACTTAGGCAATACTCTTACCGCAGAATTACATAAATTAGTTCTTTGTTTTTTGACTTTTTTCCCCTACAAAAAACAACCTGTTCACTCTTTAAGCAGTGGCCTTTAGATCTAATGATCACAAACATCATAAAATTTTCCATATTGTGAGTTATTCAAAAGTACTTCTCATACCTTCTACATTCAGCTACTCCAATGAACCTGCCTTTTATTTCACTACTTTATATACAAGTACTGTATATATCATGGTAATTCTGAATGCAGAAGTTTACAATGGCTTTGAGAAACCTGACTTCTGGAAACTTCCAGGCTAGCAGGTTGAGGTGTTCATTAACCAGTAAACACATTGGGATGCTGGAAAAGAAGAAAGTATGATGACACTTCTGGTATAAATTATTTGTAAAGTAACTAAAGTTATTAACGCCTTTAAAGAATACTATAGTCTGCTTCTATTTTAATTTGTTATAAGAATTGCACCACAAATTTTATTTAGCTTCTTCTAAGATCGTTGTGATTCAAAGAGCTATCCAAGTAAAATTACATGGGAGGCACAGTCTATGAAATATGTCAGTAAAGCTACCAGACATTTCAAGCGCTGTGCCTTAGTTTTGTTCTCCACTGAGATTTTAAAGCTCATTCTGTTCATTTATTGTAGAGTTTGAGATTTTTGAACCTGTAACATACATTTTACTTTTAACTTGTTTAGACTAGCTTTCAGTTTAACATTTCATTAATTCTTTGTTCTTCTAGTAAAATCTAAGTAACATCAAGGAAACCTTTGTATAGTCATATTATCACCATAAACCTGTTCATTACTTCCATAGCTACTATTTGCAATACAATCACTGTATAAATCTCAGTTTAAAAAAAAAAAAAAGGGAACCAATCAAAAAACCAAAACCAAAACAACTCCACCAAAAACCAAAAACCCAGACACAGAAACCCCCCTTTTTCTTGTTCCCCTTCAGCCCATTAACCTTTTAGCGATTAGGATCTTTTTTGTGCCTGACAGAAGTCAAAGCAGCCAATGTGGCCTATGGACCCTGGGGGCCAAAGGCAGGCGACGCAGTTTTGTTAGAAGCCATGAGAGACTTTGGGGATACTCATATTCATTACCAAGGAATTACCAGTTTCCTCACGGAGTCGTATTTATGCAATGGTAAATTGCAGAATTGGTTTTCCATTATACAAATGCAATGAAAATCAAGAAAGGCTGCTATTTTCTTTCTTCAGATCTGTAAATTTAAATTGCTGTAATTTTAATGAAACCTGGTCTGAGCCTAAATAATGATTAAATATTCCATACTAATTCTCAGTGCTTTTCAAATGCATCTAATAGAGGTGCTAGGGGACCCCTGGTGGCCTAGTGGTTAGCATGCGGGACTCTCACCGCTGCGACCCAGGTTCAAATCCCAGTCCCCCCGGGCAGATGGAGCCCGTTAGCCCTGTGAGGCCATCCATCTATGAGAAGGTCACTCTAAACAAACCTACGTCCTGAGGACCTCACTGCCATTGTCCAAGCTTGCTTGGCCCCGGCAGATGAACCTTGGGATTAAAGGGTAGGCTCAGTTCAGCGCAGGCTGTGTCTCACCTAAAAAAATCCATTGCGCAGGCTGGAAAGGTAAAAGACCTTTCCCCAAATCTTCGTTCGCGAACACTGGCCATTATTAATAGAGTTGCTAACATATATGGAACTGATCATGGAAGTCCTTTGACATTTCTGCTGGATCCTATCACAACTTCTGCTACCGCTACAGAATGAACTGGGAAGCTGATAAACTAACAAGTCCCCTAGCTTTCCTCAGTTTTCATAACTGAAACTTCTCCTGATGGGCTTTCGATTTGTCGGAGTCAAAGGGGAAATAAAGGGAAAAGAATCCTCTTAAAGCGCTCCTGCTAGGAAAAGAATCTACAAACAAAGAGTGGACACCACTTTCTCAGTGAAATTCAGAGATTCAGTGAGGTTACATACATGGTGATAAGTGTACACAGCAAAATATTTTTTTCATATAATTGAACAAAAGTGAAGTGATTAATTCACACTAAGTGAATTAGCAAATCAAGGAGGTCAGATGCTCTCTAATTCCATTGCCTCCAACCAAATGCTATTTCATAAGACTCTCGTATTTAATTTTTCCTGGTATTGCTTTTTAATTACCAGTTCAATTCTTTGTATTGAAGTATTCAACATTTTATGCAAGAATGTAATTACCTTGACCAATAAAGATGAATTATAACCCAAACATCCTCTGGAGCATTTGTAACTTCATTTACATACTGCTTTCTACAGCTTTCTCTTAGTTCCCCATACTTTTGCCTCCTCTGAAGACATTTCCATTCTTGCAAGTCTTCTTGGCTAATTAAAAACTAAAACTAAAAATAAGCATCTTTGGAACATTTTAAATGCATTTTAAAATAATATCCAGTGCATCTCAATTACTTTAAAAATTGAGTAACCCTTTAGCTTAAGGTCTTCTAACACAATTTCACACCTAGAAAGTTTTCTATGCCAATCTTTATTCAATAATATAACATTAAAATACATTTTCTTAATTAATCAATATCAGATTTGGGAATCTTGAGTAACAAGTTGCACAAGCATTTATCATTTGAGAAAAAGACAGAAAATATTAAAGCAGGTACTAATTGTTTGTATGATCCTGAAAATGAGATAAGTTTAGGGAGGAATTACAGTATATATACTAATATTTACCAATTTTAAAATAATTCATGAAAACTGAAATGTAAAAACAGTAGATGGCAGTCTTCATCTATAAAAATACTTGCAAGGTAGAAAAGGAAAATACCTTACTGAAATCTGTTGAACTAAAAGCAGCTCTTAATTTTACTACTGAAAGCCACTGCAAAGTGGCTTTTCAAAAAAAAAAAAAGGAAAGTTAAATAATACATGCAAAATGTTATTATACTTTATCAACAATACAAGATAGTTTAGGTTTTCAACTTCCACATAACTGTGAATTGTTATCTTTCTGTGAGAATACAGCACTAGATACACAGTGTTAGCACTAGAATTGTTTTGGTCATTTCAAAAACTCAAAAGCAGTAAGTACAGGTTGAATCTAAACAGAGGAAATGTTTTGATGGAGTTAGCTTTTTTATTCTGTGTAAACTGTAACTAACTGTGCTGTATGTTTAATTCAGAATCCTTAAAAAAAAAGTGAAAATAATAAAAATTAAAACATAATTATTGTACAATATTCAAGTTATAAAATGTGTTATTGAAAATATTCCCACTTTTCAAAATTTGTTATACTAATGGCACGTATATTTAATTTTACTTGTCCTGTGCTTCTTTCTGTGAGTGTAAAACCATTTCTTCAATTTCATCTTTCAGTTTTTCTTTTGGAGGAAGAATTCCAAAATCTTTCAATATGTCATTCCATTTAGTATCTTCATTTGGATCCTGTTTTAATAGTATGAAGCAAAATTAAATCAACAAATGATTCTTGTATGCCTTTTTAAAAATTAAAACCAGTCATTTTCACTTTGGCATGTACTGAAGGTGGAACAAAAGGGATCCATTACTTTAAGGCTGCAACACCTTCATGGCCATTCTCTAGCATGAATTTTTATTTGTCATTTTTCACTTAAGAACTGAAAACAGCGAGAACTACTAAGAATAAGGTATTGACACTGTGAATAAATGTGCAAAAGCATACCTAGAATCAGAAGACAGTTTTGTTTTTAAATCAATTATTAATATTAATGTGTTAACATAATACACCATGTTTATAACACTGGACTTCTGTGGTAATTTTAATTCAATGGTTAAGATAAAGGAACTGCATGCTATTCGTAAGACTGCATTTCTACTGAAATTATCACATTAAAAGAGTCTTTATTTTAACAGGGCTGCTGTTGGAATGGTAGAATAGCAACACTTGGGAGGCCTCAAATATGGATTGGAAGTAGTAAAGCAGATTTTAAAACAGATTGCTAATCAAAAAGCATGGTATTTTTGGCCCTGAAATAATGACTTGTTTGAAAAGCCTCCATAAATAAATAACTACATAAATTTGAATAACATAAATACTTAGTGATATACATAATTCCATAATAATGCAGCATAAAATGAACAAAAAGTACATTATAAACATTTTACCTGAGGAAACATCCAGGATTCTCATTGGATTATTACCGTGCCCATGAGTACTGCACTGGCCTTTTCAACTGACAGCTGCTTATTCAACAAGGCTCTTGTACAGAATTTAGCATGAGTATAATGCAACCAATTCTAATGAAGATCAAATGTTACACATGCCTCAAGGATTTTCACAAAGGTAAAAAAATTGCTTTGCAATTTAGATGAAAAAATACTTTTGGAATACACAAGGAGAGTAAATAGAATCATGCTATCACTCACGAGGAAGTTAAAAACAGTGGGTTTTCAGGAAGACTGATCTCTGCCAGTTTCTCTGGCATGAGGACGAAAGCAAGGCTTGGCAGGATTTGAAGTGGAAAGGAAGTGGCAGCAGCTCACGACAGTTCCTCCAACACTGCTATTGCATTGGCTCAGCAGACTGCAGGCAAGGGTACTGCTACCAACATGCACTACTAATGCAGCGCTCTGGCCTTGCAAACTTCTAGAGCCTTATTGCTAAGATAAAGAAGATAAAGAAGAGATTTCACATCTGAATAATTTATTCCTTCTGCAAATCTCCGATGTCCAGATGTTGGACTGCTCCACTGTAAATAGTTACAATAGGTGGAAAATTATTTTCTGTAACTTTCTACCTCTAAGAAGGCGGTTATTTCATCTCAAAATGATATTTCAAATATACTCACAAACTGACTTTATCCACATATAAAAATATAAGAATTAAGAATAATGTTTTCTCTTTCTTTGATTGAAAAGTAATTGATACAATCCATTGGGAAAAAAATTAAAGGAGAAGCTCCATAAATGAGTTAGATGGTCACTAATGGGTCTGTAGTAGGAAAACCCCAAATGAAGATTTTGTTATGGTGTTATTCCTCAGGGTTTACTTACACAAAAGTGTCTTACACTCAGTCTTACTGCAAATTTTCAATCCTTCACTGAAGCAGAATTTTGACTTAGGTACAGCCAGGCTATCGAAAAAATCCACATAACTAGGAATACTCCTCCAAGGTAACCACAGAAGAAACACAAGTGATAGACATGCACTTTGGCCTCCAAATTAGTGTTTAGTGTATGATTGCCTGATTTAAGCCAGGATCAGATTTGCCCACTTCATAGAATGCAAATCCTTTCCCATAGCAGGATTATGAAGAACAAGGCATTAAAAAACGTAATAAAAATCATCATCATCATAACCGGACAAATAAGTTCAAAACCACACAGCAAAAAGGACTACTGAAATGGAATTGGAATGTAGGTAACCTAGAAGATAAGCTCTGACCATTTTTTTGGCAGGAAATATTTTGAATATTTTGACGTCTTGTGTTTTTCTGTAAATCTAGGTCCAACATAAAATCCTTCCATAGTATTTTACTTCAATGGTACATTTTATACTATACCTATTTAATGCTTGCAACATTCAATACATTTGTGTAACCAGTTCTATATTGGACATTTTCTAGATGCTGTTACATCTACAAAATATAAAAGAAAAAAAAATTTGATCAAGAATCCTAGATCACAGTAAATGTAACAGAAACCGGTATCTGATAAATCTGAACTCCTGCCTCAAGGAAGATAAGGACAGAAACTAGCAAACCTTTAACAATTTTTTTAACAAATTCAATTAAATCAATATTTAAAACGTTGATGAAATAAATGAAAATATGTGTCAAAAGCTTCCGAAGATATTTGATGGTAAGAGTGCAAAGGAGCCAAGCAGTAGCAAAAATGATCAAACATAAATTGGTTTCAGAATATGAAGCTACATCACTGAAACAGCATTACTTTACCAGCAGGGCACAAGCCCAAGAGAAAACCCTTCTCATAACACATCTGACTGCTGCCAGTAATGATGTTAATTACCACCAGCTGGTGAACCACACCCTGGACAACATCAATCCTTACATGTAAATAACACTTCTAATAAATTTAATTTGCAGTTCTTTTTCTCTGGCTAATGACATGAAACAAATTCTCAATGATGGTTTTAAAATATGAATACCTACAACTGTTCAGCTAACAAATTGTAGCATTTTATTATTCTTACAGGGCAGCAATGATATTTAATTCTTAACAGTTAGAAACGTAGAGTTTCCTGATGTCTTGGCACAAGGAAACCCATAGAAGCTTCTCTCCCACCTGTCATTTCTCAGGACCTCGCAGGGGCTGGGAAGGTTATGCAGGACCAGAGCAGCAGCCCCCGCTCTCCCTGCCCTGCAGGGCCCTGCAGAGCCTTGTGGCAGGCTTGGCCATGCTGAGGGAGCCTTCCCTTCCCAGCAGTTGCCTTTGTTCAACCGTTCTCTGGTTGCTCCAGCAGCACGATGTGGGGCTTCAGGGCCCAGCAACGCCCTCTACCACCCACCTGAAATCTCACCCGTTTCCTTGACATCACTGACCCAACTCCCTCACTGCCCTCAGCCTTAGGTGCTGCCTGCCCTGGCCAGCTCGGTGCTGGGGTGATGCTCTGTGCCCACCTGCACTGCCCCCGGCACTGCTGTCCCTCACGGAGGCTGCTGGCCTGACCCTGTGGTGGCAGGACAGTGGCAGTAGGGCAGCCCTGTCCACTTGGCCCATCCTTCATGGGTTGCTGCTGAGAAAACACATCCCATTTGAAACAATTCCAGAAGAAAGGAACAAAATGTCAAAGGGCTCTCAGGTGGTTTGGTGTGACCAAAGGTGGCCACTACACTCTCTGCCCTGCCCTCAGCTGTGGGCTGCTCATGCCCTGCCTGTTGGAGTGGGAGCTGTCAGCTGTGTGGTGCAAGGCACTTGCGGGAAAGACTTCAAACAAATAGCCTAATCTAGTACAATACATTATAAAATACAATTTTGTAGCAGGCCCCACATTAGTTCTGAGCAGGCGTCATAGGTAACTAGATCCTCAGCTCACAAACAATGGTGCCAGTTCAGCTGGAGGCACAGCAAACAGCAGTGCAAAAATGAGTGACCAAGAAGAGGAAAAGGTCTTCTCAACTTGGCTTACACCTCTGAGGCCATCATTTTGCCATCTACTTTCTGAAGTTTTGCTGCTCATCCAAAATTGCAGAAGCAGGAGTTATAATGGTGAGGTCAATTCAAGCCATGACCAGCCAACACAATGTTAAAAACTTTAGTCTGCTTCTACATTGAATCACAGAATGGTTTGAGTTGGAAGGGACCACGAAGATCATCCCATTCTGAATGATTAGTTACTTTCAACATAATTACAACCTCAACATCATGTTTTAACACAACTGTGGTGTGAAAATAAACTCAGAGAGAGAAGCTGGGAAGATTGTGAGGCTGACTTTTGCTTCTTAGTAGAGTTTCTTTAAGTCTACATGGAAAGCAGTTGAATTTTCAGGTGAATCCTAATCCCAATTGCAATTAAATCTTCTTTTGAATGAGAACCAGAGTGCATCTGTGTTCTTAATAGCTAAAAAAATGATTCCATTATATTTTGGTTGAATTAAAGTCAAGATATTTCTTCAAAACATACAACTTATTCATGTTTCTTTTATTAAGGGAATAGAGAATCTCATCTTTTTTTCCAGCGAGTGAAACACTATTAACCTTAAAGCTTATTGGGGATTGTGAAACTCCTTTATCATCAACATAGTTCCACAGATCCCTTGCAGAGCACTCCGCTTGACCCCGCAGACTGCCACAAGTCCACAGACTACAGTGAAGGAAGTACAGGGTGAGAAAACATCATCTTGAATATCAAAATACACTTTCTTTGGCCTGTCTAGATAAGCTGTGATTTTAAAGACTGCACAAATCACTTATGATATATTCGGAAAAAAAATTCAAATTTTTGTATTTGTGTTGCAAACATTCTTATTAAAACAACTCTCTAGCTGAGTGCTTTTATTTAGAAAGGAAAAATTATTTATTTAACAGTGTTGGTAGAGGCAATGTCTGTTGCATGCACACACTGACTTTTTACAGCTGAATTACATGTGGTTGTAAACATCATAACACTAGGAAACAAATAATTTTAATATGCTTTTAATATAATCAAGAAAGTAAAGAAAATTTTGAATCCTAAACAGAATCCAGTTTAAGAACATTTACATTCAAATGATTTTTAATTGTACATTAGTAACGAATAATTTTTGTAAGGAAAAGAGTATGTCCATGTACTCAGCATTCCTGCAGTATTAGCTCTAGGTGAGGAATCTAAAATCCTGAAAAATAAGAAAAAGCATTAGCTGTTTATTTAACACTAAGTATTTAAAATATGATAGAGGTATAAAATACGTTAGAAAACAGAGCATTATAATATTGGTATTCTTTTTTATATCTCTCAAAATAGTTGAATGCTTTGAAATTAAATCCTGAAGCCTTTACTTAGTTTCAGTGTGAGTTTTATGTCTTTAAGATTAGGGGATTACCTCCAGGATATCAGTTTATTTCTCAGTATGTATGTGACAGGTAGTTGGATCAGTTCTTTCTTACATATACTTATCATCATCATTAACTTTCCAAACTATTCACAGTTCTTGCTGCCTGAAACACCTCTGTGTTTTCTGTTCTAGGAACTGAGTACCTACAGTTTCTATTCACTTCTTCTGAAAATCAGTGTATTTAACACATCTGAGAGAAGTTTGTGGGTGGAAATCTAAGTTAACCCCACAGTTAAAAGCTTTCTGAGAGTACTTCTCAACATAAATATGGTGGTCTATATGTATAAAAATAAACTAATTTACATGTAAATCACGATTAAAAGTGTTAAATAAATACCTCCTTAGCGAAAATCCACTGATCTCCTTCCATTACGTGGCTGGAAAAGAAAAATTCAATAAGCGCTTTATAAAACTGACAGGATTTAGTAACAAAGCCCAGACAACTTAGTGTGTATAGAAATTGGTAAACTTCTCAGCTCTGTCAATGTGATCATCATCAAAGATACACCTGAGATAAGTTACTGTTTAAACTGTATCTACCTCTGGAGGAGAATTATACAGTAAAATTTACTGCATATAGATTGAAGAATGAATTATACCTATCTTGTATGATTTTATAACTGGGAGAAAGCCACAAGAAGTCATTCTAGGAGATCATTATCCCTTATTCTTTTTTGCATTTTCTTAAAATGTGCTGATTGTTGTTATTATAACATTATAAGTAAGTGTATGTTGCTATTAACAAACAACTATATGTCACTTTTTGGTTTTAGACTGTGTTCTTTAGCATTCCTCCATTTTCGCTATGGTAATTTTCAGAAATATTTTGCACTACTGAGGGACTTGATACAATTTCTACTAAAGCTGATAAAAAATTTCTCACTGAGCTTCATAAGGATTTGCCTTTTACACTGGAAGCTTGAATGCACCAATGTTAGTATTACTCATAACTTTGGCCTGTCTTAATAACTATAAAGATTCAAGCCTGATACATAAGAAATACAAATTTGTGGTCTTTTCATTAGAATCATAGAATCATTTAGGTTGCAAAAAAGACTTTAATATCATTGAGTCCAACCTAGCTCCATTCTTCTTAAAGCCATGAGCCACTTTCTCATTTAAGTAGAAAGAAATAGTAATAAAAATCAAGGAACTATTATTAAGTCTGACTTGCCATCTTTTCAATTTTGTCAAAATGAAGTAAAAAGGCAACATGGTATAAAAGATGAACACAGTGGATTCAGTCTCATGAGAATTTCTATATTTAATATCTCACCTTACTGGTCGATATGTAAGGAAAACGGCAAGGTCCGGCCTAATAGCTGTTTTAATACAGTGTGTAAGCATGGCACTGTATTTATATCACATGCAAACAAAACATGTTGAACAATGCTTTAGAAAGATTGTCGAAGATGCCATATTTTCCAGAACTTTCTCTGAGAATTAAATACATAATAATTAATAACTTCTTAAGGCATAGAATGGTATCATGTATACACAAACCTAAAAATATTTTTAAAAATTCCTATTTTGCCTTTATTTTAATCCAAGGAAAAGTCTGAAGCAGATCTTAAGTATTCCTATATAGTGTAATGCTTTTCCTGAAAAAAGTTTCCTCAGTCGCAGCAATTTTTCTGTGGTTTCTTTACCTTTTTTTTTTTTTGGTAGCTCATCACAAAATGAAAAGAAAAAAGTCAAACAAACCATACCCTGTAGAAGAAGTAGCCTCTGCTTTGAATCCCTCCAGGTCCTTGAAGTTCCTCCTGAAAAAAAAGTATTTCAAATTATATCTACTGCTGTAAATTAATACATATAGACAGGTAGTTTATATGCATTTTAAAAGTATTTCTTCAGTACACAATACAGTCTTGCCCCTTAAGGAATGCTTTATGTGCATTTTTCCTGTCAGTAACAGGAAGTTCATGTTGTCATGTAGAAATAGCAGAAAACATATGAATGGGGGCCAAATTCCACCTGAAGTTTTAGCTCAGCTCAGATTGCTTTAGAATGGTACTAGAAATGATGAGCAGCCTTTGCCTTTGACTTTCCAGGTTTCATTACCCAGATACAGCCACAGTGTCTTCATGGTGGTGGAGTCTGTAGATAGAGCTGGCTTTTGCATCTTGTAGAAGGACAAGAATGTAAAGTTTAAATATCAGAAATACTTGGGCTCCTCCCAGGAATGAGACCTCAGACTGCTCCCAGAGGTGTACCATTTCACACATCAACTACTTCACACATTAACTCCCAAAGACCAGTGCTTATGATATCGTATCCTGTCTGTGCTGCACACATGGAGAAACAACTGTCTAGTGATCAATACAGCAAGGAGGGTAACAAATGATGGAAGAAAATAGAAATTCCATTTATATGTAACAAGTACAAGGCATGAAGTAGCCAGTTGCTTTAATGAGACCTTCACAATTAGAGAACACCTAAGCTTAATCACAGTATTTTATTTGCTTCTGGTATCAGATACAAATGATGTGCCTGTCCTGCAGGTGGGGAGACAGGCCAATTGAGAAACAAAATAGTTCAAACCTTATGCTTACCAGAACACAAAATCTAGATGGTATTTATTCAGCAATGGTGGTATTTCTCAATTAAAAACTGGAGTCATATGATCTCTCATATGATACCCAAATATCATAACCTGAGGTGTCATAGAAAGAAATCACTTCTATTATAATGCTGTGAGAAATGTGTAAAACAGGATGACTGCCATCATTTTCAAACAAAGGAGTAGATTCAATCCAGGGAAGCTTTCAAAGGAAGTAGGGTTTAAACGATACGTAATTTTTGAGTCTTGATTTTAATTCTGACTTCAGTTCACCAGGTATAGCATTATACTCAGTTTCTTGCTGTATGTAAAAGTCTGTATGATTTTTATTTATATTGTCTGTCTTATTCCAGCATTAACAGGATTTGAAATGCCCATCTTGGATTTATAATCTGTTCACTACTATTGTTTTTTTATATTTCAAAAGGATAAAACTTCTTCTGTTAATGGAGCCTTGTCCATTGCCATTGGAGTGTCTTACAGTATTTATATGTCATTCTTCTTCTACTTTTTCTATTGAAAATTGAAAATGGAAACAAAATAGACAGCTGTTGCAAGTTTAGGAAATTATCTAGAACATAAAAAGAATGAGGAGTACAATTCCTCATGAGGAATTGTGATTTACGTTAATAT